ATGGAATGGATTGTCCGAGAGGAGAAATTGAACTCTGTTAGACATGGTTTGATCAATGATGGGTCTTAGCAATTGCATCACTTACACTAAACCGCGCTCCGTCAAAAGCTGTCGAAAAGACTCCACATGATGTATGGACGAAGAAACCTCCATGGTTGTCTTTTCTTAAGATTTGGGGTTGCGAAGCATGTATCAAAAGACTCATATCTGACAAGCTTGCACCAATATCTGACAAATGTTTCTTTATGGGATATCCAAAAGAAACAAAGGGGTATTACTTCTACAACCAATCTGAGAACAAAATATTTGTTGCTCGAGATGGTGTCTTTTTGGAAATGGAGCATCTTTCCAAAATGACAACTGGAAGGAAAATCGAACTTGATGAAGTTCAAGAAGGTGAGCAACAAAGTCAAACTGACAATCAAAGTGCTTTGGAAGCAACTGTTGAAAATGGTCAAAGTCAAAATGACAAAGCAAATGCTCAATCTATTACCATGCGTTGGTCGCAAAGGCCAAGATCTCAACCAAACAGATACCTCAGCGTTGTCTTAACCGACAATCAAGACATCCTAATTATGGATGAAGATGAGCTAGTGACATACAAACAAGCTATGACGAGCCACGACTCTGCAAAATGGCAATTAGCCATGAAATCCGATGTGGACTCCATGTTTGAAAATCAAGTTTGGGACTTAGTTTATTTGCCCAAAGGTTACACACCTATCGATTGCAAATGGTTTTTCAAGTTGAAAACCGTCAAAGATGGAAATGTATATGTATACAAAGTTAGATTGGTGGCAAAAGGTTACAGGCAAACTCACGGCGTTGATTATGATGAAACCTTTTTGCCAGTTTCCATGCTTAAGTCCGTCCGAATTATCCTAGCAATTGTCGCATATTATGATTATGAGATATGGCAAATGGACGTCAAAACCGCCTTCCTTAATGGGATTTTGGATGAAACTGTGTACATGACTCAGCCGGAAGGTTTTGTAGATCCAAACAATGCTGGGAAGGTATGCAAGCTTAAGAAGTCCATTTATGGACTAAAGCAGGCAAGTAGAAGTTGGAATCTGCGATTCGATGAAACCATTAGTGAATTTGGTTTTATCAAGAATCCAGATGAGTCTTGTGTTTACTAGAAGGTCAGTGGGAGTGACATCGCATTCTTTGTCTTATATGTCGATGACATATTGCTAATTGGAAGCAGCATTCCAATGTTGGAGTCTGTAAAGGCTTGGCTTGGAAAGTGTTTTTCAATGAAGGACTTGGGAGAGGCATAATACATATTGAGCATCAAGATCTATACGGATAAATCTAAAAGGATGATTAGATTGAGCCAAAGTACTTATATCGATAAGGTACTGGCACGATTCAATATGGAGGAAGCCAAAAGAGGCCACCTACCCATGTCACATGGCATAACTCTCAGCAAGAAACAGTGTCCGTAGACACCTGATGAGCGAGAGAGGATGAGTCAAATTTAATATGCTTCGCTTATTGGATCGATCATGTATGCCATGATATGTACTAGGCCGGATGTATCGTATGCCTTGAGTGCTACGAGCCGATACCAATAAGACCCAAGAGAGGCACATTGGATTGCGGCCAAGAATATCCTAAAGTACCTGAAAAGGAACAAGGATAAATTTCTAGTCTATGGTGGGAGTAAGGATTTGGTTGTTAAAGGTTATACCGACACAAGCTTCTAGACTGACGGAAACGACTTCAAGTGACAATCAGGATACGTGTTCTTTCTTAATGGAGGAGCGTTCAGTTGGAAGAGTGCTAACCAAAGCACGACTGCAGATTCTACAACTGAAGCCAAATACTTTGCAGCTTCAGAAGCAGCTAAGGAGGTAGTTTAGATTCGTAAGTTCGTGCTAAGAAAAGCACGACTGCAGATTCTACAACTGAAGCCAAATACTTTGCAGCTTCAGAAGCAGCTAAGGAAGTAGTTTAGATTCGTAAGTTCGTTGGTGAACTTGGTGTTGTCCCCTCAATACAGGGACCAATAGACCTCTACTGTGATAATAGTGTGGCTATTTCTCAGGCTAGAGAGCCAAGGGAGCATCAGACAGTCAAACATGTCATGAGGCAATTTCACGTGATAAGGGAATGGAAGTCTGAGGGTGAAATCAGAATTTGAAAGATTAGAACGGACGATAATGTAACCTATCCACTCACTAAACCTTTGCCTCAAGTGAAACACAACAAGCACGTTGAGGCAATGGGAATCAAGCATATTGGAGATTGGCTTTGATTTCCCTATTTGTGTGTTTTAATTAAGTTGTGGGGATCATAATGTAAAACACTATATTGAACCATTCATTTATGGAGTAATTTAATTTTTCCTGTAAATTAATATTCCATTTCTATTTAATTGTGGATTAGAATTAAATAATGAGTCCACTCGATTTAAGAATATTCAAAATAGGGTATCAAGACAATGTCTTGGATAAATAAACACCTATTAAGTGAACGTTGAATATCACATCGAAATTATCCCTAATCGAGGTCATTTGAAAGCTGGACGACTAATGACCGTGTGAGATTAGTGTGTCGTATGATTTATAGCACTGTTTCTTGTGCTACAAGGAGAAGAATGTCATAAATCATTTGCACAGGTATTGGTTTGAAACTATACCGGATCGACCTATGAGAATACTTTAAGAGATCTAAAATCGTCATAAGTATATTACTCATTATGGCTATTGGAACCTCTTTCCTCAACCATGAGTATTGTTAGTTCTCTTGTTTGAGTATTAGTCCGCTTTGATGTTGTCAAACGTCTGCCGTACAAGGGGATTATAAAGGCAACACTCGGACAGCTAGGGCCTCTTAGTAAGGGAAGCTGACAACGCAAGACTGGGAATGTCCCCCTATTAACAGTAGGGAACATGTCTTTGTTGTTTGCAAGGCCTCTCGAAAAGCGAGACTGTGAAAATGCATGGTCGTGCTCAGATGGATTTTGGAAATCATTTGCTTATTGACAGTTGAACTCAGAAATCAAGAAACACTTCTGGACGTAATAAGGATGATGAAAAATCTTACCTTATAGTTCACGAAGAGACATTAAGTGACATAGAAAACAGGCTATACACATACAACACACTTGTTCGGAAGGACAATTGGGAGATTGACAGGAATGATGTCCTTCGAACAAGTGTATTATTCCGATAGAGGGATCGAAATTAATTAGAAAGCTAATTATTCAGTGTGGTCAAGTGATCAGAATGTCTAGCTGGAAGCCGCTTCCGATCAGTAATATTAATGAATAATTAATATTACATCAAAATCTTGACTGAACCCTTCGGGTCACTCCCAATCGTGTAACTAAACCGAAGCGACAAATTAATCCGAAGGATTAAATGAGTCGATGGAGATTTTATGAACTAAGACATTGAATTCCGAGCTTAGAGCGTCGAAACTAAGCGTCGTAAGTCGAGTCGAATTTAGGAATCGACGAGACGAAAAACTCAGTCAAACAACATGTTAACGCGCGCAAAATCCAAGCCTCGCGATGGCCTAGCCAAGCGAGGGCTAGGTAGGCTAGCATAGCTAGCCGAGCACCTTGCCGCAAGGCAATGCTTAGCCGCAAGCCCAGCATGCATCGCATGCATTGGCTGGGCAAGCTGGCCGAGCAGCCTTGCTAGCTAAGCGTGGCAGCATGCCCGAGCATGCATGCGGGCTAGTAGCAGGCCTTGCAAGTGAGAGCATCGCCCAGCGCTAGCAGCCCGTGTATGCTAGCGTGGGTTGTGCTGCTGCTTGGGCCGAGGGTCCATTAAAATTACTTTACTATCCTTAATTAATAATTGATAATTAATTATTATAATTTTAATTAATAATTATAATAATTTATAATTAATAATTAATATTGATACGTAACTATTAATAACTAACCATAATACGAGATAGAAAAATCCCTAAAAAATTCCCTATTCTCTCTCTTCAAACCTAGTCACCATAGTAAAACATAGGGGCTGCCATCGATTTTATTGATGGTAAGCCCCAAATTCTTCTTTAATTTTATGTTTTTAGTAAATAAAGATCACTAATAGTATGATGATTGTAGTTAGTCCCTTTATGTAGGGTTTATTTGGTTCCTTGATGGTGGAATTTGTAGTATGAGTTGTTTGTTTGTTTTTCGTGTGTGCAGGGATACAAGCAAATTTGGAAGATTTGTCTTGCGAATTGTGGATTTACGAGTCTGTTGGTATAGGGGTGCAAATTTAAAAGATTAGTCTTGTAAATTTGCCGATCTAGAGGACCAATCAAGTTTTATCACTTTCGCGACTATATATCAATGGAGTTCTGTCAAAAACGATGCAAAGACATCTAAAATTATTCAGGAGCAGTTCAGAAGCGATGCCATTAGTTTAGGGGTGTTTAATACTACTTGTATTGAGAATTTAGATCTCTTAAGGAATGATTGTAAGTGCCGAATGACTATTAATATTATAACTACTTATATTTATTAATAATGATACTTAACTATTAATAACTAATGATTATTAATAAATAATTATTAATTAAAAATAGTTAATAATTAACAACTATTAACTATTAATTAGTAAAAAAAATATATTAATAATTCGTAATTTAATTAATAATTATTATTTATTAATAATTAACAATGTAATATACCAATGTCCTTAAAGTCATTTTATATAAAACAACTAACAGCCAACTTTACCAAACATATTTATTAATAGCCAACATTTAAAAGCCAATACAAACAGCTAGTCAGAGTAGCGAAGAAAAATAGTTAATAGCCAACAGTTAATTGCCAAACAATATGTTTGGCAATCGGCAATTGGCTTTTTGCCTAGCTTTTAGCTTTATAGTTTGGTCAAACAGCCAAATAATATGTTTGGTAGTTGGGTTTTTTTTGTTGGCTTTTAAGCTGGTTTTTTAGCCAAAAGCTAATAGGAGTATCTTTTTTTATTGGCTTTTAGCTTATTGGCCCACTTTATCACTAATAAACAGCTAACAACCATTAATAATTTTACCAAACACTTTTGTAAACAATTGACTTAAACAACTAGCTTAAAAAGTCAATCCATACAGCTAATACTTCCGGCTAGTCAAACAAGCCAAACAAACAAGCTAACAGCCAACCGCCGATTGCCAAACAACCCTAAGGCCGGACTCTTATGTCAATTTTTCCGTAATTAAACAAAAAAAACCTCTTATGACAATACTACGTGTCATTCGACCATTGGTCCACCACAGCGAGTATCTCTCTTTTTCCTTTTCCTATCTGGCATCGTAAATTCACTCTTCCCCGCTCCAAAAAAAAAAAAAAATTGTTTTTGGTTCCTCTAATCTCTCTCATTCTCTTCATCAGTCACTAATTTTTTTATTTCAATCCAAAAAATTTTAATTAGGTTTAAATTTTAATATTTTTTGGCTGAATTTCTGTCGAAGTTTGCACTGAAATTGTACGGTTGATTTGAAAATTAGGGCAAAATTGGATACCAATTATGTGATCGGAAGTGTAAATTTCAAGCTTTTTTGCATTGATTTTAATGGCGTCGATTCGACGAACACTTTCACCGGCGAATCAAGATCGGAGTTATCAGAACGGATCATCTTCAAGTCCATTTTCGTCGAATTCGTCGTCTCACAAAGCGTCGAATTCGAGCATTTTCGTAAAACCTCGGCGAATTTTCGCCGGAATATTCCTGCTTCGGAGTTCCCGGAGAAATCAACAGCATTCATGGAGGAGACAATTTTATCGTTGTTTGCTTTGCTTCTTAATCGGAATTTTGTTAGGTATTTTTCCATTTGGTCACATTGAAGAAGATGATGTTAGAATTCATGATTTCTCATTCGAGATCAAATCTCAAGTTGAGAATAATGTTAAAGAGAAGGAGATGTTGAGAAATGAAGATTCCGGGGTTACCGCGAAAATGAGCGAGGTTGAGGTTAAGCTTGATGTGGTGTTAGCAGAGAAATTTGATTATCAACCTAGGAAATTATTGATTATTGTTACTCCAACTTATAATAGGGCACTTCAAGCTTACTATATGAATAGAATGAGTCAAGTTTTGAAGCTTGTTAATCCTCCTGTGTTGTGGATTGTGGTGGAAATGAGTGCTCAGTCCCCGGAAACCGCCTCGATTTTAAGGAATACTGGAGTAATGTACCGCCATTTAGTATGCCATAAGAATTTGACTGATATAAAAGATAGAGGTGTTGAACAAAGGAATGCTGCACTTGAGCATATTGAGAAACATAAACTTGATGGCATTGTTTACTTTGCTGATGATGATAATATCTATTCTTTGGAGCTTTTTGAAAGTATTAGAAAAGTCAGGTATGTTGTTCATTCTTCTAACTACCTATTTGAATTTAATTTATGTTATTTTTTTTTGCTTGTTTCGCGCTATTATACACTGTTTCTGTTAGTGACTCTGAATATTTTGATACAGTCTGAGTTTTGACAACTTATTGTTGCATTTGCTTTGTTAGTTTGCTTGTTTAATGCTGTTTGAAATTTGATGGATGTGGTTGTTTGTGCTCATTATTGCATAGTAGTTGATGCTAGTTAAAGAGATCAGGGTTGAGGAATTGGCTGTTTTATCATAAATGTTTTATCTGTTAAATTTGGCCGAGCTCTGAGGAATTGGGCGTTGTATCATAAGAAATTTGTCCAGTTTCGAGGATTTGAGTATTCTTATAATTGGGCATTCTTTACAGAGTACTTTGAATTGATTAGAGAAAATCCCAATTCTAAGGAATGTTATTTATCTTAATGGTTGATTACTGCATAGTAATTACATAAATGGTAACATTCTCAGAATGTTGTTTTCAGTAGTCATGTTTTTATGTACAGAAATTGAGACTGTCAGGTCATGGATTCTTTGTTGTTTGATTGTTACTTATCATTGGAAGCTTAGTTTTTGTCACAACATTAATGTGATTGGAATTATCCTCATGTTAATCTGTTCTTGTGATAATGAAATTCGTTATTAAGATAGCTTCCTTCTTACTAGCTTAACTACTACACGTGTTTTTCTCGGGATTCCAGGGTTGACTAGGAGAAAAAAGATGCTGGCTGGTTTTTGTCGCTAGCCTCATAATGTGCACCCCTTGGAAAATTTCCGTTAGTGTCCATAATTGGTGGCACTTTTGAGTGTATGTTTTCTTTGAGGATAAAGAGTCTTCTTTTACCCCTTGTTCAGCATTATGCTTCTATGTTACGAAATGTGAATTTCTTTATTCCAAGTGTAGATCTTTCTGATGAGCTTCTCCATTTTTTAAAATGTTTCCAAATGTATTTGAAGCTGTCATGTTTTATACACTTATAATTGAGATGGGGGTGGATTAATTTTCTTCAATCAGGTGCTGTAGTCTCCAATTCACCTGGGGCGTGATTGGAATATATAAGTTCATCATACGTATTTACATCAATCTACTTATTTTCTAAATAAAAGCTAATAAATAGTTTGCGGAAAGGGAAGAGACTGACTTCTTTTGTGAAATAAAGCTAGAGTATCAGTATGTAGATTTTGCAATCCCAATGTTGTCTTTCTTTCTTATTTACATAACTATCTTGTTTTATCCTGATGAGTAATGACAATCTTTTTCCCCCAAAAAATAGAAATAAAAAACTGATGGTTTACCTTTTGCACTCTTACAGCCGTTTTGGCACGTGGCCTGTTGCTATGCTGGCACAAAGCAAAAATAAGGCCATACTTGAAGGTCCAGTATGCAATGAAAGTAAAGTGATTGGGTGGCACACAAATGAGAAAAGCAAGGCACTCCGTAGATTTCATGTTGATATGTCTGGGTTTGCATTTAATAGCACTATCTTGTGGGATCCAAAGAGGTGGAGACGTCCCTTTTTGAATCCAGTGCGGCAGCTGGACACCGTGAAGGAGGGTTTCCAGGTATTTACCTCATGAATGTGACATGCACAACTCTACATTTTGGCACCTTTATCATGTTGCAATATCTCGTTGCTGCTTTTGATGAGGGTATAAAAAGGAAAATTGAAATCAATTGCGGTTGCTATGTATATATCATGTTTCTCTCGGTTGTTTATTATAGGAGACAACATTTATAGAGCAATTGGTCGCAGATGAAAGTCAAATGGAAGGTATGCCTAATGACTGTGGAAAGATTATGAACTGGCATCTTCACTTGGATGCTCGTGGGGTTGCATATCCAAGAGGGTGGCTTCTTCAGAAAAACTTAGATGCTGTCCTGTCCATCGATTAAATTGACAACTCTCTTTTTGATTTCAACTTAATGAAGGTGTGACATCAGATTTATGTTCTTCAAGTATTTGAAATTCTATCCTGTGTTTAGATAAATTGTGTACTGCCTAATAGTGAAAAATGTGGGTGGTTTCAAAAAGAATATAGTGTCATTAATGGTGGTTTTGAAAAGGATATATTGTCATAAATTTTATCTGTGTGGAAATAGAAATTTAAAATTATGAGCATGGAAGGATTCTATTATATGTTGGCTCAAACTTGGAGATCAAAGAGGCACTGCAAGTTTTGTAAGATTCATTTGATCTCTCCAATTGAGTAACATCTGAAAACATAGCCCCTTCTTATTCGCTTTTCTCTTATCTCTTTTTATTACTGTTTCTGTCACGAAAATTGCAAACAATAATGACATAAAAGATAGAAATGCTTTACTTTGCTTATTTGATTCAATACCATTTTCCTTGCCACGGGATTGCTTCATGCTGTCACAAGTGCAGGATAAACACTTCCTCCCTATTTCTCCTTTATTATGTATGCTTGGTGGTACGTGGATCTGGATGATTATTTTAAGTTGGTCCGTATTGCTGATTCCACTGCAATTTTAATTTGCATCATATACTGTGTTGATATTGGTTTGACGGCTGAAATGTTCTTAATTTGACAGTGTTATGGTATGGACTTGGAGTTGCAGTGGTTGCTTCATCCTACTTGCTAATCATCGAATCCGTTTATCTCCAGAAGCGCATGCAGCAGCATACAAATTAAGCTTGGGGCTGAGTGAGGATTTATGTCCATTGACATATATACTCTCTCGGGCTATGCTATTCAGCTTTCTCAAAGGGGAAATTTGGATGTCATTTGGAAAAAGAAGAGAGAATATAGTTTAGCCATAGAAATTCAATTAAATTCTTGGGCACTGGTAGCCTATAGCCCTCCATTTTTTCTTTTAAACTTGGTGGTTTTGTTATGCCTTGCGAATCAGGTTCTGAAGTGTATACAGTGTGACTTGTGTACAAAAAGTTGTGCCTCAAAATTTTCTTCTGTGAGTAAAAATTGCAGACTGTATTGGTGAATCAAAAGACAGTAAAGTATTATGACAAAAGATAGCGATGTTATTAGCCTTCTGAACTTGACAATGGTCTGCCATTGTAATACACCACTCAAAGTGTAAAAGTTGCTTAGCTATGAACTTGACAACGGTCCCCCTTTAGTATGTAAATATCACCACTCGATGTTACTTCATAAGCTTTGGATATTTTCAATCATCCATCGTAGTCAAATGTCTGCATTCATTTTGCTCAAGACCAACCTGATAAGAATAGCACTTTTATCTTAAATACTAGTATATTATTTATGCAGGCCACCCGTTTATGACTCTGCAAGCAAACTATAGTCTCTCTTGTAATGCAGTGTAAGCAAGATGTAGAGATCCCTCTCTATATAAATTCAGAATCATCATTAGTGCACCCTTCGTCCTAGAGCCATCAATTAGTAATGTGATGTGAGGAGTTCCTATTAAAGACCTACTGATATCAGCAAGGAAGAAGCCTAGAGCGAGCTAGTAAACTGTTTTCACTTATATCAGCAAGGAAGAAGCCTAGAGTGAGCTAGCAAACTGTTTTTAGGTAGATGCAAGAACTTAGGGCAGGGCCTCGGTCCATGACTCAGTACCCAAACCCAGATTCCAAATAATTTCAGGCCTGTTTATGCTTGCCCAAATCCGTTTTTCGAGCCACATTTTTCTTCCCAAACCCAGGTATTTTCCTAGCTGGGTCGGGCCGGCTACTCTTGATCAGGGCTATAAGTATATACACAATTGTAATGCTGATTGATTATATCTTTTTAAAGAATTTGAATTCCTCCATTAATATGAAAGTCATTGCTTTTCTAATGTTCAAAGTTTAATTTTGCAATAGCATTGGCGGGCCTACATGTGTGCACAGTGATGCACGTGCATCACCAGTGACCAAACCCAAAAAAAAAAAAGTTTAATCATTAAAAAAAAAAAAAGCAAAGCACTCTGCTTTGTTTCACGCAAAACAGTTATCCGACAATATTCTCAAAAACCCTAAGTTCACTCCTTCTCTCACATCTCTCATTCTCTCTCCGGCAGTTCGGCGACAGCGCAACCCTCCAAGCACCGCCCTACTCATCACTAGAGATATTCTCACAAACCATCTGACAGCCGGCCTACTCATCACCAGCATCCTTCGGTTTTTTAATCGACGAAGATTCGAAGAAGCTGACAAGCTGTCCACCTGTCCGGCTTCCGCCCTGCTTCGACCGACGACCGCCGCCCTCCAAAGGTCAACTGTCCAAGGCGTTAACTAATAATTGATAATTTCATAAATAATGAATTGATGTTTTGTTGCTGACTTGCTGCAAATTTGCTATAGTGCTATTGAAAATTTTAATTGCTATTTGGTTGTTGTGTTGAATTGAATTACACTTGCTCATCATTTTTTCAGATTTAATTGAATTTTTGTTTAGTTTAATTGAATTGGTATTTGGTGTTGTGTCGGATTGAATTGCACTTGCTCATTTTTTCAAATTTAATTGAATTTTTGGTTGATTACTTTTCTAGAGAGTGATTTGTTTTTCGATGTTAAAATGGATGATATCATAGATCGATATCAAAACATGAAAACTCGAACAATTGTAATAGTAAGATGGATTTTTTAAAGTACTATTTGATTGTATTATGGAATTTTGTGTCCTATTTTTGGATTAAAATCAATTATGTTGTATATAATTTTTTTATTAATTTTTGAATTGAAATCAATTATGAACTAGACTTTTTTTTTTTTGGGTACTTTCACAAGTGATCTATTGATGGTGATTCACCGGCTCGAAAATCCTGGATCTGTCACTATGCAATAGCGCACGAAATTGTAACGGGATCATTCATAATCGTACAAAATCGGAATAGAATTTTTTAGCATTGTACAATTACGGGTGAGCAAACCGAGTACCCGGTCAAAATTTTAGGATCCGGACCTAGAATTGGTTGGGACCGAGTCCTAAAATTTGGAACCGGAATTGGAACCGGTACAACCGGGTCCTAAAATTTAGGAATTGGAATTGGTTCCACCGGGTACCGGTTCCGATTTCGGGTACCCACTTATATATATAAGTGTTGAAATATTTTAATTATATTAAATATTAATATTTTTTTTTATTTTACTAATTAGTTATGTTCAACATATTTTTGTTTTATTTAAATATATTTTGTACAATATATGTTGGGTAACCGGTATAGTAGAGCGAAGAGAAAAATCTAGAAGTTTTAGGGTTTTGTTTGATAGTGGGTTGAGAGTTTTACAAGCAATTGGGCTTAAAAATTAAAATGGGTTGTAGATAACTCTTTAGTTTCTTAACAACACAAACAATCTACATACTATATCATATAAAAGCGGGTACCTAGTGGGTACCGGGTCCAAAATTTTAGGATTTGGAACCGAAACCGGTTACAACCGGGTCCGAAATTTTAGACCCGGTCCCGGAACCGGTGAGACCAGTTCTGGGTCCGGACCCGACGGGTCCTAACCGGTTCCGAGTCCGGTACCGGGTACCCTAGGTCTTTGCTCACCCCTATGTACAATCCTTCTTTCTCCTATTAAAAAGAGTCCCACAGCTGCTACAAACCCTTTTTCAAAGCCCCCAAAGAGGGCAAACACCCACCCCCCTCCAAAAAAAAACAACTATAAATGTGTATATAAAAAATTCATCTAAACCATTTAAAGTTTGTTATTACACCTTTTTTTTTGTCTCACTTGTTTTTTGCATAGTTTCATATGGAATATTGTAATTAAAATATTTTAAGTTACGTAATACCGAAAAAAAAAATCTAAAAATTACATATTTGGAAACTAAAAATCAAGATAATTTTAACAAGATCCTACATAGCTATGTTTTGAAGAGTAGAAAAACCATTTAAGTCTTTAATTAGAATCTATCAAGGTTCCAAATGGGACAAGCAAGAGAGAACGAATGGAGTATTACTTATAGTGCTTGTTTGGTTAGCTTTCAAAAGTGTGGAAAATAAAACTTCATGGGAATTAGAATTCCCATGAACATGGGAAATAAATTACCATATCACTTTTTGGTCAATATAAAAAAAAAAATGGGAATTTCAAATTTCTTTGATTCAAACCATACAAGATTTTCCTTAAAAAAAATAAAAAAATAAAAATTAAACAAGCTCACAAAATTTCTAAAAATTGTAAGTAGGAAGTATGCAATGTAATTTCTTATAGGAAATTAGGAATTTACACAATTACACATTCAACCTTTGCACATTATTAGTGCACTACTTTGCCATTGATTTACTTTCTCTATTTTTTAGTTGCATCATTTTAGTTTTTACGGACTCTTAGGAAATTTTTTGAGTAGAGAGAGGTAGAGAGAAAAAGATAAATGGGGCCTATGTGATAGGAGAGAGATAGAGAAAATTAATTAATTAAAAAAAAGTGATGCTTAGCTTTTCTTTTACTTTGTAATTTGTTTGTTTATGCTGATGTCAAAAAAAATAAAAAATTAATCGTAAATGTTGAATACGAAGTAACATTTATGGTGATAATTTACAAGCTAGTTTTTATTAAATTTTGTGGTAGCCCAAATAGCCTTTAATACACAATATTAAGTACTCCCTCCATTCCTTTATTAGATGCCTATTTCTAGCATTTATTACTCACATAATAAAGAGAAGTAGACATCTAATTAAGGGAGGAGAGTGTAGTACATAAATAATGTAAAAATTTTAATCGCGTCAATTATATATTCATATAAAAACGACAGCAAAGATTTTAAAAACCTTGTTGAAATTTAGATACCCCCTTAAACATAACGCCCTCCATGAGAAAGGAGAAGGAAACAAGGAAACAAGTAGTGAGCTTCAAAGGACAGAGGCAGCAAAAGCAAGGAAAAACTATTTATTAATTTCATAATTCTGCATCTACAACTAACCACTACAAAAATAAGAGCATTTACAGACGGTCAAGTTTAAGCATCTGTAGGGAATATTTCAAACATCAACTTTGAGCCCCACTGTGATCATACATTTAAGCATGGTGGCGTCCAAAGGGAAAGAAGCTAGAGATAAAAGAGTCGCCAACAAGTTTTAGGAATTTGTAAACCGTTCACGAGTGTGAAGGTTACACCCCATTCACGATCACAGAGATCGCCAACTCCATAGTGGTCCGGAACCATGACTGGATATTCGGGGATGATGGTACGAATCCAACCTAAAAGAGATTGAACCCGCCCTAAATTGGCCTCTACTTAATTCTTATGATATTCATGTGCGCTTTCCTATCAACATACATACAACAAGTTAGCCCTAAGCCTGTTTAATCTCTATTGGTTGATTATTAATGCACAAATAAATCTATTATTGGCGATCACTTGAATTAAAATCATATTAAGCCTAAATCAAATTATTAATTATCTTATTAGGCGTGATTTCAGGTACATATTCCCTTTAAACCTGTAAGAAAGGGCGTGATCAAGCAATAACAATATATCATGAATAATCAAGCAATGTATAATAATTATAATTGACACAATAAATCATCATCATAATAAATAAATAGCAAGATCCTAGGCATGATTTTAAACGGATTAATAACAAACCCTAGCATGTCACTAAACAATAAAGATTAAAGATTTAACTTAAACATGATACTAGCAAACATGATATAGAAATATTAATTAAGCATCCCAACATGATAATAGAAATCATAAAAACATCCTAACATGATACTAGGAATTAAAATAATATCCTAAGCATGATTTCTATATTAAAGGAATAAATATTAGGGAGATTAAATTACTCACTTTGATGTCTCGTATCTCTTTCTATCAAAACAATACACACGTTACTAACTTCAAGAAAGATTAAATCAAACAAATAAATTAAATAAGAATTAAAATATAGATTTGGGACCAAACCCTTACGAAGGCAACTACGAGAAGGGCTTGGAGTATTCAAGTCTCGCAAAGGATGTATGGTGTTGGGATATGTTTAGGCTAAGGCTAAGAATGAGAGTGAGAGAGAAAAGCTTATAGCTTAGAGAGGGATTAGGATGATGATTGTTGGTGATCAAGCTTGTTGATGATTGAAAACGGGA